TAATCGGTTGCGTATTTCGCGTCACGTTACCTTTTGGGAGCATACTACTTTTTCTTCTTTGTCTAAATTTCACATTCCGTTTGATTCGTCATCCCCTTTCTTCATGTCCATTACTTCGGATCTCTTTCCAGATATTTGTCCTGACTCACAGCTCATTGACACTCCTGTCATGCCTTCGTCTTCTGAAGTGGATCCACCTGTGCATCCTGAACAGACGCTCCTTGTTGAGTCCTCTTCTGATTCTGTCCCTTCACCTACCATTGATCACCGACGATCAACTCGTGTAAGTCGTCCCCCTTCTCACTTACTTAACTATCATTGTTATTCGACCATACTATCTCATCATGAGCCTAGATCTTTTCGTGAGGCGAGTGCTGATCCATTGTGGCAACAAGCTATGGCTGATGAGTTGCAGGCATTGGAGAAGACTCATACTTGGGATTTGATGGATCTACCTGCTGGAAAGAAATATATCGGATGCAAATGGGTTTATAAGATCAAGACAAATTCAGATGGTTCTATTGAGCGCTACAAAGCTCGTCTGGTTGCTAAAGGGTACTCACAGGAGTACGGTATCGATTATGAAGAGACCTTTGCACCGGTTGCTCGTCTTACTACTGTTCGGTGTTTACTTTCTGTTGCTGTTGTTCGTCGATGGTCTCTTCTACAATTAGATGTCAAGAATGCCTTCTTGCATGGTGCCTTATATGAGGAGGTTTACATGACTCCTCCTCCGGGGTCCTTGTCCTCTGGGAAGGTTTGTCGTCTACGTCGAGCTTTGTATGGTTTGAAACAAGCCCCTCGTGCCTGGTATGCCACGTTCAGTTCTGCATTGTTTCAGTTTGGTTTCATTACGAGTGATCACGATTCTGCTTTGTTTCTTTGGCGCTCCTCATCTGGGATTATTATTTTGCTGCTCTATGTTGACGATATGATTATCACGGGAGATGATGTTACTGGTATTTCCGGTTTACCGGACTATCTTCGTCAGCATTTTGAGATGAAGAGTTTGGGCCAGCTTCGCTATTTTTTGGGTCTTGAGATTTCTGATTCCTCTGATGGCTTCTATTTGTCTCAAGCCAAGTATGCCTCTGATCTTCTTGCTCGGTCAGGTCTCACAGATTGTCAGACAACTTCCACACCTCTTGATTATGATGTTCGTCTTACTCCACTGGATGGCTCTCTTCTTGAGGATCCTACGTTATATCGTCAGCTTGTTGGGAGTTTGATATATTTGACTGTCACTCAGCCTGATATAGCTCATGCTGTTCATATTGTGAGTCAGTTTATGGCTGCTCCGAGAACCACGCATCATTCTGTTGTGTTGTACATTCTTCGCTATGTGAAGGGCACTCTATTGCATGGTTTACACTTCTCAGCCCGTTCTTCCTTGACACTTAGCGGCTATTCTGATGCAGATTGGGCTGGAGATCCTACTGATCGTCGTTCCATTACCGGGTATTGCTTCTTTCTGGGTGATTCACTCGTCTCTTGGCGTAGTAAGAAGCAAACCTTAGTCTCCAGATCGAGTGCTGAGTCTGAGTACTGTGCTCTTGTTGATTCCACCTCCGAGCTATTATGGTTACGTCGACTACTTGCTGATCTTGGTGCCCCTCAGTCGTCGTCTACTGCTTTACATTGTGATAGTCAGAATGCTATAAAGATGTCTCATAATGATACCTTTCATGAGCGCACCAAGCATATGGAGATTGACTGTCACTTCATTCGAGAACATGTTGCACATGGGACTGTGAAGCTTGTTCCCGTCTCTTCTACAGATGAACCAGCGGATGTCTTCACGAAGTCTCTCCTTCTCGGTCGCTTTTGTTTACTTCTTAGCAAACTCAAGTTGATCTCCTCGATACCACCTTGAGTTTGAGCGGGGGTGTTAGTTATGTAAATACTTAAATTGTACTATAGGCTAGGTTTAGGCCCAATTTGGGCTAAGGTCCATCTATGTATCTATAGATATGTGTACTTCTCTTTGTGAATAATACATCAGATGTTTTTCCCAGATTCTCACAAAATCACACACCTAAATTTTTATGACTACGTATTAATTTAACGGTTTAAATATGTGAATGTACCAATAAAATGAAATTCACCCTTTTTAATGTGCATACGATGAATGTAAGTCAGCGTGCCAAGACAAGGGCTAAAATGTGATAGGATAAGGTAATCAAGTGATGAATAAAAATGGACTAATTGGAACAAGATAATAACAATGATTAATAAACCTTAGTTTTACCAATTGATAAAGGAAAAATACAATATGTACTATTGGTGACAGTTGTGTGATGGACCCATTTGTATGAAAATACAAAATAGAGTATAATGTAGTCTGAATATCAAGCAAGACAATATATGGCTAAGGAAAAGGAAACCAACTTAAAGTGAAAATTATTATATAAATGTATTAACCTTTTGCAAGTTGCAACGAACTTTGATTATTTTGGGTAATGGAATGCTATCTACATTAATCCCCTTGAATAAGCGTGTTTTTATGAGTTATAGAATTATGTCAAACATTATTATCATAAAAAAATACGCACATTCATGAAATAATATTTCTAAAATTTGTGAAATTATATATGTACTCATTTTTAAAAATATATTAAAATGAATAAAATAATTTATATTTACAATTAGTATTTAAAGTTGCAATTTTGTTATGTGTTGTCATAAATATTACTACGTAAGCGAGAAATGTCCACAAATAATTTTAGTTATAAAATTATAATATTTAAAAAACATAAAATATTAAAAAAAATTGCAAGAGTCAATTTGGTAGCTCAAACCGATGGTATTATTCGGGTTGTTTAAAAATATTCCGAATATATGAATTTGTCATAATTGATTTTTAAATCAAAAGGCTTTCGATTAACTAGCAACCGACTAGGCCAGAACCGAGAAATAGTAAATACTAAATATACTATATCAATTAGATTGATATGGTGCAAAATATAGTTTAAATTAGTTGTAATTACACTGTATTTATTCAACAAAAGTATCAATATTTATTTTAATTTTTTTAAATGTGCCACCAAATTTTATTTTGGTGGACAGTCAGTCGCTAGTTAATCGAGAATTTTTAATTAAATTTTGTAAATGTGAGACCAATATTATGCCACGTATCATACTTTCACACTTCGTATCTTTCACTTAATCATGAATTTCATTAAATTATCATTTTTTTCTCCACTCATCTAAGAAAACCAGTACTTGTGAAACAAAGATTCAAAATTCAGTTCATTTTTATTTATATAAAAAAAATGTTTACATTTCGGCTCAGTTGACAGTAAGTCGGGGTGATAAGGTAAGCAGTCAAAGAACCTGGAGCTCGTGTTTAACCCAATTTTGACTTTAGTTTGACAATTTTCTACATTTTATTCCATGATTATTGACCTTTTCGCCCCTCTTTTCTCATGAAAAAACAATTATCAGATTCCAAATTATTGTTATTACACTTCAATTCGTTGCGTTAAGAGAATATTTTTAATTAAGCGTGGTTGAGATAGGGATTAAAAGTACTTTGCGCTTTCAAGAACTAATGATGAATTAATTTCTCGAGATTAGAAATATAGTAGAATTCTTTGAACTTCATGAGATTAAATATTTTCTTATGCTTAAGGTTTGGTTTATGTCTTACATATCATTATCATGAAAAATAATTACTTAACCTTATTTTCAAGTGATGAAAATAACTATTATGGTTGGTCATTTACGGCGTCGAATAACTGAGGTGGTGTTATTATGTGGTTAATTAGCAGCCACTTAAACAACATACTAAGTTAGACTATCATTATTTTAAGTCTGTATGTATATGACTACTATGAAAAATTCCACGTAATGCTT